CTTTCCTAGAAGCGTTCATCTCCTGTTTTATGATGAAATCAATATCAAGGCATGAATTGTAAAAATAGTTATTATTATATTATACCTACATTTTCTTAGTACTAGAAGGACTCATTCCTTATTTGTATAGTGTATTAAACCCAAAATTAGAAATAATTTGTAGAAATGTGGTTATATTTTGTCTATTCTGATACTTGAGTTGTAAAAGTCATTATTCAGCCTGCATACATGTTTTATTGAATATTCATACACCATTTTGTAGTCTCAGTGAAAGAGATGATAAGTGTTGCTAGTCTGTAGAGGGATTAAAATATTACTCAGCAGAACTTTCTTTTGAGCCCTCTCCTGCAGCCAGTGGTGTTCCTCAGGGCTCAGTCGGATCGGATGGCCCATGAGTCGATCCGATCCGTCCTCTTCCGGTCTGGATGCAGACTGAGATCTGGTGGTTTTGGTCCTGCACCTCTATTTCTTTTGTGACAGTTTTTCATATTACATTATTGATTTGTGCTTCTTTCTGTTTCTGCTTCTCAATTCCTTATAAGACAGAAAAATAAAGACATATTTGCTCTTTTGTCTGAAATCTCTACCTGTAGATGAAACTTGGTAGTTCTCCTACCTGAACACTTCATCTACATGCTTGGCTCGTCTACGTTTTCTGTAAATGTCAACCAGTTAATTTCACATTTCATAAAGTTTTCATTCCTGTGCTCTTTAGCCCCCACTGTCATGAGCTCTCAGTGTTTTTGTGAAGCAAAGCAGTGGTGACTGAAAGAGGGGGGTTAAAGATGAACTCTGCATAATTCACTTTCTGTATATAATGACACTAATTGCTGCACGATTGGAACTTAAACTGTCCTAATTAACAGTCAGGTCCTGCAGATTGAAAACTGGAGATGAGGATAAGTTCCTCCACAGACTCGTCTCAGTCACTGGGTCGTCACACACGCTAATCACAAGGCTTTTAAGATCAAATTTAATCCTGAAGTTTGTCCAGATCCTGCAGTTGCAGCAGACCGATATGATAGCTTTAATATAAACGTTTTCATCAAGTTATCAAAGAATTTTCAAAATGTTAGAAAGTTGATATTTACAGAAAGGTTCCCAGCAAATCAAGTCATCGTCCATCCATTCATTTTCTGCATCAGCAGACTGACGTCCATGTCCAGCGATCATTGAGCCGGGTGCACCATGAAACGGTCACCGGTCCAAAAACAGGTCCAACTCTGAGACATGAGAGACAAACAACCAAATAATCCAAATACTAACAACTGAGAGTCTCAATTCAACACAAGTTCTTTATGGGCTGTGGAAGGAAACCAAACCTGCAGGAAACTCAGCCGTGAAAGACAGAACCAGAGTGCTTGTGGAGGGTGATGTAGACTGAAGATTATTGCTGTATGACAGTTCTGGATGATATCATCAATTGTTGGCAAGAACCGCTAATCCACCTCATTTACTTTTGCTGCATCTCTTCCAATCTCCATCAGCTCCTACAGTTAGAAACCTAAACAGAGAGACGGAGTCACAGAAATGGTGCCGTTATGATGGATGGAAGAGACGAGTTTGAACTTCCTGCTTCTCTCTCTGCTTTTCAACTCCTCTGAGATTTGGTCTCTTGGTTCAGGCGGGCTTTGAGCTTTTGGTTCTGCTGCCTGATCCAAAATCTCATTTTCCTCCTGAAAAATGAGAGTCAAACTCAAAACACACAGAAAACACTAAAAGGAGCTGATGGACGGATAGATGGACAGATGGACGGACGGATCAGCAGCTTTTTGAATCTGCATTAGTGACGGTTGGTCAAAAACAAGAGTAAACTTGTAAAACTATGAAGTTTATATTTTTAAGAAAACAAATCTCTGGACTTTGATAAACCTGATATTTTTTTAAATCACACCATAATAGAAATTTAAGTGCATTTCCAACACAGAGAAAAAGACTTCAGAACAACTAATTATTATTGTCACTACAGACAACCTCATCATATTTGCCAATAACTAATTAGTGAAATTTCAGCTGCTCCCTTATGGGTTTGTCTTTCTGTAAACAAGCTTCTCTATCAGTTGGAATGTTCAAACTGCCTCTGGGGGATTTTAAATGTCTAATTTGCAGCTTTTTTCACCCTCTGTTTATCACCAAATTATTCCAACTGTATGTGAAGTGAACAGGGAGCAGTGGTGCGTTGCAGCCAACTGATTGTTTTAAACAGTAACAATGCTGGCATTATGTTAAGACAAACCAAATCATACCAAGCAGAAAAATGAACAAATAGCAATATAGTTATGTTGCACCAGAATGAAGTAAGTGACGTAATGGGAGGCAAAAACACATGTCTGCAGTAAGACAGGCTTTGCAAATTCCAAAGAAAAGTGTAAAGGAACCGTCAAGAAACTGAGATTCAGTTACACATTTTTGATTCCAACAAGGTTCATTAACAGAAAAGCATTAAAGTCTGAAGATGAGTGAAGAACAAAGGGTTGTGGAGTTTTTTTACAGCTTGATTTTGATAAATTAGGCAGTCGATGCAATCAGCTGATTTCAGCTTATTGAATAAAAACACAACACCTTCTAACCAAACTCCCACCTGTTTCAATAGCATATCATCTGTAACTACATTCAACTTGAATCCATGTTCGTTTTCTTCACCAGCCACAAACTTCAAAACTCCAAATCCTCTCCAGGGTTTGCATTAAAGATGGAGAGAAACTCAGCATCTTTCTGTACTGTCTACTTTAAATGGATGATGATGACAGAAATTATTCTGCAGACATTCCACAGTCATGGCTCAAACAGAAGACGTCTGCCGACATTCCCAACCTTTAATCAATACTGAACATTGGTGAATTTGTAAACCTTACAATGTGACGATGACAGTCCTAAACTCTTTAACACCTGCTGTGTTTGCAGGATGATCACCAAGAACACAACACCCTCAAATCTTTGCTGTTTACCTTCAGAACCAGAAAATCCTACCTGCAAGAAAAAGCTTCACTTTACAACATTTTAGGCATTTATTGCTGTTCTACATTCAGGAACCAAATGCCACGTAGTCTGGGTTCATATTGGTTGGAAAAACTGTCAAGCATTTCTGGTAAGTAGGAACAGAACTTCATCACCCATCAGATGTGCAGAGGAAATTTCAAATAGCATAAATATCAAGAAATGCACATGTATTTTTGTATAAATGTCTGATTTTATGTCCATTTCATGCTCAGGTAACCTGGTTTGGCCTCTTCAGTCAGAACCTTCACACTCTCTCATATGTAATCAGGGCTTCTGAGGGACATTTACACTCTGTAGGAAAATGCTTTTCTCATCAGCAGCAGCCATTTTCTTCATCGCTAATGATTATAATTTTATTTGAAAATCTCTTTGAGGTTTCTTTTGTTCTCTGCGAATATTCTATCTGGTTCCCCTGAGAGATGCTCCATTTTACATCCCCAGTGCTCTGTCTCCCCGGCTTTCATTTCCATCTGTGGAACCAACCTCAGCCATGTCACAGGGCTTTAAATAGGACTTAATTTGTTTGAGTAAGCCGTGGTTGTTAGCTCCACCTGAAAGCTGCAGGCAGCTCCAGGTGGGAACTGGTTCAAACTTCCCGTTTAGGACCAGTAGGGCAGCAGATTTTCACTTTCTATTTCCGGCCTAATTGGTTGATCCAACAGATCTGTAATGCACTCGCTCTACAAACATTTGGTACTTTAGCAGTTATTTGCAGTTTCAGTGTTTTTCTTGAAGTCAGGAAGAATCCTCAAAGTGAAGTCGGGACCCTGCTGAAATCGCTTGCTTTGTGTTTTGTTCCATCTGGACTCAGTGGACGGCTGCAAACAAGCCCAGTTGGAGCGGCGAGTCAGCACAGTGTCTTGTTCGGTTCAAATGGGAGTAATGAGAGGAACTTTGAAGTGTGGAGAACACAGAACATGGAGGAGAGGCCCTCTGCATTCGGAGCTCAGCTCTAAGTGGGTCAAAAGTTTGTGAGCAGATGCTGTTTGCTTCAGTTTTCCTCACAAAACAAACTGTTTCCTCTCTCCTGCTGCGCATTTGGACTTCAGTATGGCTGAGTCACTTTCTGTTGATTACAGCATCAAATATATAATTCCTGTCTGTAGAAACCACCAAGGGAACATTTTCCCCCAGAGTATTTCTAAGGACATAATGAAAGCTCTTTAAGTGCTATCACTTAAAGAAACTGAATAGATGTCCAGTCAGACTCTCACCACCAACACTGCATTAATGTGGAAGTACTTTTTTTATTTTCTCTGTATTTTACTACTTGTTCCTTCCTAAAGTCTAATTCCCAAAGCAAGTGGCAGGTTCTGCTGGAGTTAATGTTGGAGCGTTTCAATTTTCATAATAGCTTCCATGAAGCCAAATGAGTCTGCTTTATATAATTAACAGATATGATTGAACTATTAACTGATTTTACATTCTGCATTTCAAAAACATTGAACTGCTATTTAAACGGAATAATTAGAAAAGTAAAAAAATGAGCAAATGCATCTATGAACTGATACGTTGTAAAATGATGTGAAGTTAAAGTCAGTTTAGTTTGCAGTAATGTTTAGCATCGGGACTTTATGGGTTAATTTCAATTTATTTTTACCTGGTAAAATGTTCAACATAAATGCGTCCTGCATAAAGACCAGATTCAGATGCAGCTACAGAGGGTGTTCAGCTGGACTTGTGAATAGTTTTGTTGGCTTTAATTATGATAAACTGGAAGCGTTATCAAACCCAGTCCCTTCATCTCTCAGCGCTCATCAGTGAATCATTCTTACCTTTCAACCTTATTTTCCGACGGTTTTCTCCACTCAGTCCAACCCGCCGGGTTTCAGGGCTTCTGGGCTTCAGTTCAGCGATGACAGCATATGTAGCAGGAGCCTGAACGGCAGCCAGACCAGGCCAGGGTTGGGAAACGTCCAGTGGGAGAGGAGGGGTCTTGCACACCAGACTCCATGGAACCAGCAGATGGCTCACGAGCTGACCGAGTGCCGCGATTCAATCTGCTGCTGTTATCCAAGGTGGGCCAACTTCCTCCTGCCAGCGGGACGCCGCTTTCATCATGCATGTGTTCTGTAAACTAAATCCTCCTGTGCATTGGAGCCGTCGAGGCAGGAAGATAAAACATTAACATTCTGAGTCGGATTTACAACTTATGGCCAGCTGCCAATCAAATCAAAGACAAGAAATCTTTAATTGATTTGACATTTTGCAAACAAAAATATTTCTAGAGTTCAACCTGAAGAAGAACATGTTTTCACAAATGTTAAAAAATGTTGGCAAAGCAACATAAATCAATATTTTGAAGAGCAACTATCCTGCAGGAAATAAATAAAACAGTGGAGAGGTGAAGTTTCCATTTCAAAGTTTTGAATGTGATGTGAATTCTCTCGAAGGAGACACCACTGATGAACACACGATTTGCACGGCTGGGATGGACGTTATTAGCAACACATTTCCTTTGTAGCAGCTTGTAATGAGGGACCCAGACATCTCGTGGTTTAATCTTCCATGACGCAGTTTCTATTAAAGATCCGAAAACGACGACGGGCGCAGAAAAAGGTCAGCTAATATTCTGGCTCATTGATTGTCTGACTGCCCACCAAAGTTCCCCGTGTGTTTGCAGGTTTAGTTGATGCTACATATTGACGCCCACATGTAGGAAGCCCACTTTGTCACCAGCTTGTCACCCAGAGAGGTCGTCTGCAGGAGAAACTCAAGCAACACATTGAATGGGACTGAAATCTGTGGGAAAATGGAGCCACTCATCATTCCTGCTCCTCCTTCCTCTTCACAGATTCCTGCACAGTCTGTGGTTTACTTAAGGAGGCTCAAGGCTTTTATTCATACAAGAAAACAGAATTAATTCCACCTTTCATCCAGATTTTTTGTTTTTCAATTTAAAGCAGTTTTTTTTCTGATGACTTAACTCTACATTTCTGCATGAAAGTAGCAGACAAAACACACAAATAGAACATATTCTGGCAAATAAAATGCTAATAATAATAAAACAAAAATCAATTTGTCCCTGAAACTTCTAGAAATTTGTTTCTGAGCATTTTATTTCTCTTAAAAGTAATAAAGTATTTCTGAGCTGAGTTGAGGCAGTTTAAATGTTATTTAGAATATAATCAGCTGGTGATCGCAGAGCCTCCTAGTTATCTGATCAGAAACATTATTTACCAAATCAGATCATTTGGAAGGACAGTGCAGCCCAGTTTGGTCTGCAGGGCCCATCCACAGCCACAGTTAGCAGGGAAATGACTGAGCTGCTGCTTTTTGAGTCCGCAGCGTTTTAAAAAATGTCCCTCATGACACAAATGGCCGCTCTTCATGGATGAGGTGACTGGGCCAAACAGCTACCACACACAGCAGGTATTCATTTTACTTTTAGCATCAAGTTTCTGTGGATATTGTCTGACACCAGAGCCTCGGTCTGACAAAACAAAATAAAACAGATGGGTACAAAGGTGAAGCTCGCTGCAGCTCGGCGAGGTGATGCTGTTTGGTGCTGATGGGCGGTGGGAGCATAAGAGCTGCCATTTGGCTCTGCCTGTCAGCTCTCTGATCATCACCATGGCAGCCGCTGCTTTTTTCCTTCAGCTGCCGTTTCATTTCAATTTTTTCTTAAACTAAAGACATTGGGAATAAGCAGTGAAGTATACCACAATGTGTTGAAAGAGGCTCATTATGAAAACATCAGAAATGTCCTGAGCTGTTTGATCACTTTGATTCAGGGAAGAATCAATGTGAACAACATGAAGTTGTTCACATTGTTCTGCTGTGACTTTTTTCACTTGATTGGTATGCGTGTGGCGCTGAGGCTCAGCGAAGGGAGAGAATGGTAAATAATTATCATAATAATGTGTGAAGGATGCAGATGATCAGAAGTCTAGGAACTGGAGATGTTCTTTAAATCAGTATTATAACCAGCGCGATCCGACGCTACAGCACAACAAATTGGTTTTTCCAACACTTTTTGCTTTATTTATTTTCCAATTAAACTGGAAATTAGTGTCATGAGTGTCGCTGGCTTCAGCGGCAGCACACTGAATCAACAGAACAAGAAAGCAGCAGAAATGGGATTTTCATCCAAGTGTTATTTGGCTGTGAGTCTTTCATTTACAAAAAGGAAAAATGTGTTTCATTTGGCAGATAAAATGCTACATCTATTTTCTATTGAATGCTTGTAAAACATTAAAAGTTTAGTCTTGAAGCTACAACTCCAATGCATGTTGCTGTTTGTTTTCAGCTCAGTGGAGCCAATGTTTCAGTTACAGCTGAGAGTCTTTTGGGGAACGTCCTCGAAGGCGCCGCCGGGTCGTCGAGCTTCGGATTCAGGAATGTTTTTGTTCTTGGTGATGCTGCACTGTACCAGTCTGTCGTGGTGAAGACAGAGCTGAGTTAAAAGACAATCTCTGACATCTACTGGTCAGTAAAGATTGATGCCCTCATCTGTGGTCACAAGCTCTGGGCAGGAACTAAAAGAACCAGATCAGATACAATGAAAGGAGTTTCCTCCACAGCGAATCCGGACTCTCCCTTCGAAATATGAAAAGCTCAGTGATCCAGAGTAGAGCCACCGCTCCTCCACATCGAGAGGAATACGGTGAGGTGAGCCGGACGTCTGACCAGGATTCCTCCTGGACGCCTCCCTGGTGAGGAAGAGCCAGAACACTGTTCTCTAGCAAACCTCTGAGCAGCTGATGCACACAAATAACTCAGGTTGATTCTTAACTCTTCACAATTATGCCCACCATTTTTTAATCACATGGTCATGTTCAAGTACCTTGTCGGGATTTTTTGACGAATAAATTGTGAAAATGAGTAATAAGACTTTGCCTCGTTATAAACAGACACATACATTTTGGACTACTCTGTGGTAACATTAGATCACCTGTGGAGGAGCATGTTTAGCTAAGCCGTTGCCAGAACTGCTTAGGGCCTCCTTTTAATTAAGCTTAGTAATAAATGATCAAATAGCTCAGCTCATGATGCCTCTGGCTCCAGGCATCGAGCTGTGCTGCACACCTGCACTAGTTTGCAGCTCTTTTTCTATCTTTCTCCTGGTCATAGTTAGGATCGCCAGAGGCGTCGCAGAGAGAAAAATGCTAATAAGTTTTCCACCGTTGCTTAGTTTCTCTCTGAATATTTTCATGAATTAGAAGAGGAAAGAGGCAGATTAAGTGTCTTTGGGGGATTTTTCAGTGTCCCAAATGTGACTTTTCTAGACCGCTGCAGAGTAGACTTTCAAGGATGGGCTCTTAATTGGGTTGGTGGAAGCAGTGGTGCTTCTTGCAGTCTAATTATTCATTTAAGTGAACTGGTGTAAACTCACATTTAGTCTGGTAGAGAGAAATTATTTATTGGAGAAATTAAAAGCCCTCTTCTTGCTGACATAGGTAGCCAGGAGGAGAGGGGCAGCTGCTTGACGCTGCGGCAGGAATGCATTAGAAGGGACTAAAAGAGAAGTAAAAAAAAACATAAAAAAAAAAGCCTTGCACTCTGGGGCTGGTGGGAAAAAGTAGCGGGTTTAACATGCTCCACAGGGCCGGATCCACCCTGAGACTGCTCAGATGTGGAGTACCTTTTCTGTGCCACTGCTCACACAGGGCAGACTTACAAAGCAAACAATGTGGACGAGCACAGGGTTGGGAGTGAGACAGAGGAACGGGGAGTGACAGAAAGAACAAGTCAGGACTGGACACGGAGGGGAAATACGTACTGGACTACAGGGGGGATCAAGTTCAAAAAGACAGAAAACAAGAAAAAAAGATGTGTGACAGAGTGAGGGGGAAGCTCTGACTGGAGGAGGAAGAGATAAAAACACAGAGCGAGTCAGACTGAGATGAAAGCCTGAGAAGACTTGGGTTCATCTCTCTGATGGCACCCTGGCACCTCCGGGTCTCACAGCCTGAGCTCTGCCAAGGTTTCCTCCTTCCTGGGCCGAGAGAAACCAGGAAAAACTTAAAACGAGACAGTGAGTCAGCAGCTTTTTCACACGTCTCACAGGCCGCTTTATGACCAGCTCCGGATATTTATCCCTGCAGGCAGCTGCAGGGTCGCACATCACACTCATTGTTCTAGATCAAATCAATACTGGCCAATTCATCTCAAAAACTCCTGACAATTTGTCAGATTAAAATGGTGTTGAGAAAAAGTGCCTCCTTCCAAACACATTTCCTGTTTATGCTTTTTTGCCACACTAATATGTTTCAGAACATCGAACCCAAAGAAACACAGCATTTAATATTATGATCATATTAAGTAAACAAATCTTTTCCTCTAAACATAATGACTGGCTTTGCCACCAGAGGGAGCAACCGTTGCCAGCAATCCTATGATTCCAGCAATGAGTTGTTTTCATTCTGCAGTGATTTAAACCCTCATCTTTGTTTTTATGTAACCACATTTGAAGGTTTTCAGCCATAAAGATCCAGTTTAATGCCCTGCAGGAGAACGCCAATCTGGGATTGATTTTCTATTAAAGATCAACATGTACAGTTTAATTCAGTTGTTCACAAAGTGTCCAGGTCCTGAAACCATCACACTACCACCACCATGTCTGATGTGATTCACACAGCAGGTAAATGATCCAAATCTGCTTTCTTTGCCCAAATCAAACCTATAATCCAACTTTTTCACGGCAGACTGTCAGATCTTTTCATCCCCCAAATATTATATTGTATGCCAGGTTTGAAAACATTAACTTAGCACTTCAGTAAGTGGTAAGTCTCTGTCTTTGCTTTATAAGAGACCATTGCTGACAACGACAGTCCAGAAGCCACAGACTTGACTAAAGACAATTAATTAGTGATTGGAATAAGGTGCATACTGAATGAAAGCAGGTTCTCTTATGCAATTAGCATATTAAATACCTGCAGCCTTTTACAAATCCTCACTTCAGAAACGCTTTACTTCCCCATTAAACAGTTAGACCAGTGGATGATAAAGGTTGTGGTTGGACAAGCTGATGTCCACACAGAAAAGACAGAATAGATGCTGTCTGCTGATGAAAACCTAACTGATTAGTAATGATTTAGATCTTGGTTGGTCGAAAGGTCCAAAACAAATTCCTAGTTAAGAACTTGAATATTTCTCCAAACACCCATTACAAGACAAACACGCTGTCACCTGGAAATACAGAAATAACAAGAGAAGCTAACAAGTGCTGCAGGAGCGCCTGGGGTTTTGATAGTGGACACAGGTGAGTTAATTAGAGAAGAAGAAGAACTTAAGAGCCAAAGCCTGGGACATCTGGAAGGTCCAATTAGGAACTATGGAGACAAGGCAGGATGCAAGCAAAATACATAAAAACAAGTTTTTTCAAAAGACTTACAATAGCACCAAACCCAACCAAACCAAAGACATGAAGAATTCAAGATCAAGACAGATGTAATGTCCAATGGTGGACAACATGTAGAAGTTGTTGTACAAGAAGCAAAATCAGCTCTATTTCCATAGCTGCAGAAATCAGAGAAACACACATTACAGTTTCTAAAGTGTAACTAACCCACAAATCAACTTTCTCTGTGTAGAAACTGTCTAAATATGTTACTGAAGGATCTATCTTTATCTTTCAGTGAAAATGTTGACATTTCAGTGTGAATTTGTGTAATTCTCCAATATTTTTGCCTAAAACTGTCTCAGTGTTGCCCTCCTCAGACTGGAAGATATCTAAGCAGAGTGGAATATGCTCTGCCTGCTGACTCTATGCTGCCACTGCGTAAGAATGACTGCGGCGCTTAGGAAGTGGGCGGAGCTTACTGAAAAACTGAGACCTGCTTTCACAAGTTTCCATAAACGTCTTCAAAACAGACAAAAGTTGACAGATTGGTCACTTGTTGCTTTCTTAATGAAAAGACACCAGAGGAGTCTGAAAAGTCTCTGCTCATCTCCAGACTTGACCACGCCCCTCAGTGTCTCTGGATGACATCCTCTTTGTTGGAGTTGTTCAAAATTTCTTTCATGTTTTTACAGGGAGGTCAGTTATTATTTAAATTCTCCATTTTCAAAAGCACCAAGAAGTCAGAGATGTATACAACGGGAGCAGAACGTCTCTGATTTGTACATTTTTCTGCAGTTCATCTTTACTCATTTCAACTCAAATTCAGCACAATTTATATTAAATCCTGTTACTTTGCTTGAACAGAATTTGGGATGATGAGCGTTTGCATGGTGGTATGTGTAATCTTTGTTTCTGTGTTCATTTGCAAATTACCATCTGGCTCGTCATGTTTCTTTTGAAGTAATGGCTTCCTCCCCACTGACTGACCTTTCAACCCATGCCACCACAAGGTCTGTTTCACTGTGGAAATGTCTCCAGAAATTAAGATAGATTTTTTGTAAAATGTTTCTAATGATTTTCTTTCTATCCTCTTGATGGTGGAGGCTGAATTTGTTTCATCTATCCATCCTGCCTTATATTCTCCACCTTAGGCAGAGACAAGAAGAACCAGACTCCTGGTGGCTCAATATGCAAATACAACATTGTGGAACAAGTATTGTTCTGAAAAACCGGTCATTTTGTTTGATGTAGTCATCATGAGATGTTAGTGAGTTGTCACTGAAGAGTCACATCGGAGGAGAGCTTTCTGCAGAGAAATGCAAGCTGACAGGTGGAATTAAATTACTGCTAATTAGCCACAAAGTGGCTGAATGAGTTCAGGTTCCAGGACAGCAGGACTGCCCTCACTTTTCTTGGAGCTGAAACCTTTTTGTTTGTCATGCCACAGTGCAGGTTATAGTTTGTCAGATATAATCAGCATCAACACTGTTGATGTTGGTTCTACGCTTGTGTCCTTTGTGCACTAATGTGGTTCGGAGCAGAGCTCCTGGGTTCTGTGCCAGAAAATATTTCACAGATTTGAAGGAAAACTGTGTTAATGTGTTACTGGGTTTGACAGCTTAGCAGAAAGCCTGTCTTATTTAAAATATTACAAACGTCTTTACTTTTATTTATTGCTACATGAAATGATGTACTCAGAGTAACGTATAAAGAAAATTCAGTTTTACATAAATTATCCAAATGCTTTTGGTTTTATAAAGATCTCAGTAGTTATGGCTGATCTTCTCTAAATAATTTCCTGATAGACAAAACAATAAGAGTGAATGTCATTTTCCAAGTCTTGCAACAGATTCTCTGTAGGATTTAGGTCTGGACTTTGACTAGGCCACATGGCGATGATGCACCATTCCATTGTAGCTCTGACTGTATGCATAGTGTTGCTGTATGACAGTTGCCCCAGTTTCAAGCAGGATTCTTCCAGGATTATCTTCGTTCCCTCCATGTTCCCACAAACACACATGTCCTTTCCTGTCCCTGCTAATAAAGAGCATTCCCCCAGCATGATACTGCCATCACCATCATTGTAATGTGCGTTCAGGGTGATTTTCTGTGTCTTTGCTGTTCTATATTCTTTCCATGTTCAGATAATGGATTGAACTCATAAAGAACACACTCAAACATCTGGTTCCAGTTGATTGCTCACACTGATTTTAAACGTATCTATACAATTTAATCTAAACTTTTTAGGCCGTTTGTGTCGGAAGGAGCCTCCTAAATTATCAAAGCCACATCCTATTAAAAGTGTAATCAGGCACACAGTGGTGAGACTTCAGGCCTAGTTTGACCCCATCAAGTCTTAATGAGGTCCACTGAGTCGTTGACCTGCACATTTAAATAACATGCATCAATATTAATAGGTTATTAATGACTCAAAGCAATTATGCATACAGCGAACTGGACAGGGACCGCCAAGTGGAGACGCTGAGAGATTGTGGGGTGTGCGCTTGTGTCTGTCCATCATTTTTTGTGTGTTTATAAAGAACTATAATTTTTGAATGAAAAGGTGTTATCTGTGGATAAACTGTGAATCTACAGAGTGCTGAACTCGCTAAGCCTCTTGGTTCTTTGATGACCGTTATCCAAAATGTACTGTCATGTTGATAAAGTTATGAGCAAAACGTACTTTGCCACTGGAGCAGTTCAAAGTAGCAGCACTATTTGGTGCCTTCAGATGTTGAATCCAGGGTTCAATGGAAACGCTAACCTACAGCTGCCTGACAAGCTGCCATAAAGACAACTTCAAATTCACGGCCAGTAAATTCATGTTAAAACATTTTACAAGCTCCTAGAACTTTTTCAGAAGGTAAATGAACATCTTATATCCAAACCACTTAAACAAACAGCATATCAACTTGTTTAAAGTCAAGATATTTGCCTATGATGGGACAAACAATCCATAGTGCTTACCTGTTAAGCAATAAACTCTTTAAATGAATTGCTCTTGTATCACCAGAGACACTTTCCCTTGTTGTTTCAGGATTAGTTTCAGCATGTAGGTGAGGAAATGTCTAAAAGGTGTAACAGAAAGTCCACTTACTAATAAAATTCCCCTGTTCTGACTGGACACACTGGTTCTGTGAAAAGCCTCGGCTCCCTGTTCCAGGATCACAGGGAGCAGCTCACCGTTACCTTTAATCAGTGATTTCTAACTGGCTCATTGTTTTATGAAGTCAGCTGATCAAAGCAGATGCCATGCTGTCTGTACGGTTCTTCCTCTATCGCCACTTAAAAGATTCAAAATTTTCTTGGGGCAAGTATGTCAGAACATTCCTCTCAAGTTGGAGACAGAAAGTCAGTGTGTTGGAGGGGAAGCGTCCGTTAACCAGGTCATTTCGTTCCTCAGTTTCTGTTGACAGATTATTTCTAGTAACTGGTTCCCAGCTGAACTGTAAACATGTTACACATGTTTTCATCCTGAAAGGTAATGATCAGCATTTTGTTAGACTTTATGAGACCCCAACTCGTCCCTAAAAATGTGTTTATGTGATTAAAAGCTTAGTCACCAATAAACACACCATGGATGGAAATTTTTAGGTTTTGGCAGATTTTTCTGTGAAACTTGAATTTACTTTTGGAAAACTTGCCTTCAGGGATTTTCTTCGTACATAAAATATTAAGAAGTGGAGTGTTGAAATCTGAAATACAAAGCGAAGCAGCCAGTCGAGGAGTGCCTTTCCTTCTTTGTCCCAGCTTCAGCGGAAGACGATTTCCATGTTGCATATTATTAAGGTAATTTAGTGTGTACTGTACTAAAGCCTGCAGTCACAAACAGTTTTTGAAGAGGATCTCAAGGACTCACAGATTTTAACCATTTGGTCTCTAATCCATGTGAATGTTGCAATCCACTGTTTTTCCCAAACCATATTAAAGTTAGAATAAAAAGAAAATCCATAAACCGTGGAAAACAAACGCTTTGCTGAAATCAGAAAAACTTTCATCTGTAATGTAAATTAGATAGAGTTTATTGAAAGATAAAAATTAATATAGATAAATATATAGATATACCCTAGTTCAGGGGTCACCAACCTTTTTGAGACTAGGAGCTACTTCACGGGTACAGAGCAACACGAAGGGCACTTGTTTGATACAGTCTTTATATATATATATATATATATATATATATATATATATATTATATATATATATATATATATATATATATATATAGTTAAGAATTAAAAAGAGGAATAACTTGATTTAGCTCGTTAATTCATTCCTCTGATCCCGGATTCTTGTGCCTCAATATACGCAGGGAAAAAGAGCAATCATATGACATCAGACTTAAGATATCCAGAGTTTTATCCAGAGAAAATCAATGCAAGAAGAATGTTACAATAAGCATCTCACCTATAGACCAAGAAGAAAGAAGAAAAGTGTGGGAAAAGTTTTAAAGAAAAAGAAAGATAAGAGGAGAGGAAAAAAACAGCTTAAACAATACAAGTGTGAGGATTTGGGCTTTTCTCTGTGTTAATTTCGGTCTCTGTTGTTTTCAGTATAGTCTTGTGTTGTCTGTCTAACCCTTCCTTGTTCCCAACTGTGTCTCGTTTTCCTGATTAGCCTCTGTGTGTTTAATCCCACCTGTGTTCCTCGTTGGGATCTATTGAGTCCAGTCTTTTGTCAGATGTCTCCGGTTGACCAGTTGCTAACAGTTTTGAGCCTTCTGCTCAATCTGCGCTGCCTGGACTTTGTATTGGTATTTTCATCATTAAAATCATCATTTTCTGCACACCAACCTGGTTCCTCTGCGTCTGCCTCGACACCTCTAACCGCAAATCATGACAGAAAGACCCAAGATGACAACCATATCGACAAAGCATAACAAATACAATTACATCATCACCGTAAAGTACACAGTACAAGTTAATACAAGATTTATTTACTGGCAACTGCAACCCAACTGAGAATGAGTCTTAAAAAAACCCTGAATCCAAACAGCAGTAATCCTGATCCATATTACAACAGCTTACATTAAAGGTTATTCATAGCCAAACAAACCTATTGTTGCTCAACACATCTTTAGATTTATGTATACAAGTAATAGAAAACACATTTGTAAACGGGATGATATTAAGCGCTCATAAAGAATAATAATGCTGAATCTATTCAGTTTGAGATAACATTCTGTTTCTCTGCTGAAAATAGAAATGCAGTGAGTACTATTCAAAATGTTTATTTTATGTTGTTTTTCTAACTTGGTGTTGCCTCTGTTGATGTAAGGTGAGAGATTTTTTCTTCCTGTGAACTCATATAGTCATGTCTGGGGGGCAAACAGCAGCTCGCCGTTCATATGTGGCTCTTCAGAATCACTGTTTGCAGCAGTCAAAATAGCCTTTACTGCTGCTGCTGAAATGTGTGTGTCCTAAAGTTTTTGTCTTCACAGCACTGAGATACATATAAAGAGTCCAGAACAGCACAAGCTGACAGAAAGTTCAAGGGACTGAATGGTTAGCACTTCAGAGAGGAGAACGTAGCAGAGAAATCCAAAATCCAGAGCGAAGCGAAGGCTTAATCCTTTTATGTGAGGCCTCTTGTCATGCTGTGTGTGACAGATGCATGTGTGAACATCTACTGTAAGCAAAGCCTTTTTTACAGTGACACTTGAAAGTTTGGGAGTTCTTCAAGTCTTTTTATATTTCTGCATAAATGCATCTCTAAACATCATCAGACGTTAATTATGTGAGCTACGAATAACAAGAACAACTGGAAGCTCAACAGTCCAGCAGATGTACCTCCTGCGCTGGGAAGCACAGGATGCTATGAGAGAAAACGCAATACTGACATCAGATTGCAGCACTATTTAAGCTGATAGGTAATGTGTTTCATGAAGTGAAACACTTTCTATAAAATTGTGGATACAATGATTCAGCAGCCATTCCTGAAACTCTGCCCCAGTCCAGCTGCACTCGGCTCAATCCTTGATCTGAGTTTGGCGTGAACGAGACGGTTTCTGTTTCGTCGGAAAGCAGGTTTGACCCTCCTATAGGTCAGCCTTCCACTGACAGATTGGAATCCTACAAAATTTTGTCTCAAACCTCGGACCAGATTGGCATTAGCAGGTGTGTCATGGCTCCATCTGGCTGTTTGGATTCAGAAACTCTGGTCGCCTCCACCGGACAAAGCTGAGAACACCACCCTAACTACTTCATAAAAATCTGATTTTTGTGTGCAAATTCTGTGAAACCGTATCAATTGTGACTTAACTAATCCAGCAAGCGTATACTTTGGATGAATTTTAAAAATGTGTGCGTGTGAGTAGGTTTGAAGCAAACTTTGATGTTGCTGAAATTGGGACCTTTAAAGGTTGTGGTATCCAATAAATCCCCTGCAGTAAGGCTGGTGGATGACTTTAATTTGATCCAAGCATTGTGATTGTTTAGGGTGTGTAGAAAGTGGTTAAACTCCTCCTCTGAATGAGTCCAAACACCCAGATGTAATCTAAATACCAGTAATAATGCAGCAGTTTCTTATTGCAGGCATTCAGAGCAGACTCCTCCCACTCCGCCATGAAGATGTTAGCATAGGCCGGCGCAAACCTCTTACCCTTGGCAGTTCCCTTGACCTGCAAGAGCCACTCAGCGTTGAATTGGAAATTATTCCTGAGCAAGTTGATGTCAAAAACTTGAATGATTTCCTTGTCTGGTTTCCTTCCTTAAGGATTGTTAGGAAAGACGTTCTGGACGGCGTTTATTCCCTCTCCAGTCACAATATTTGTGTATTTGTAAGGTGTCTATATCAATGGTGAAAAGCAAGGAATGTACAGGAATTTGGATGTTTTTCACAATGTCAATAAAATAATATGTGTCTTTGATGTAAATTTAACAGTGGATTCAATACGTCTCGCTGCTGCAATCTGAGACGATGGGCTTACCCGGCAGGATCGTAAAAGGTTCCCTCCATTTAACTGGATCTTTGTGACTCTTTGGCAAAATGTGAAACAATCTGGCCCTGGGTTCCAAGGGTCCTAATAAGTATGCTTTTTGTTTTGCTGAAATGGATTTGGTTTTATGCAAGTGACTGAGAATTTTAGCCACAATCTGAATGGTATCCAGGTACATCGGCGGCCCGCCGTGGAGCGAAGAATTGTTGGCGATGGTGGAGCGGACGGACCCTCATTCCCCCTGGGACCTGTTCATCTTAGACATAATTAATAGACATGTTTATGCTTGAGGCGGACCCGAAAGGATAACGTCAAGATAATAAACTTATTATTATCTGAAAAAGAAAAGGCTACGTCCGTGGTTGGACGGAAACTAACTAAAATATGACTAAGTTCAAAGGTCTTTAATTTACAGGCCAGCAGAGTAAAAGACCAATTTACACGACGTTTCGGAGTTGGATAATCCTTCTACAGGTGTTGGTCAGTAACAGCCTGCAGTCTGCAAGGAAGACAAGGCAGGAAGTCCACTAAATGTGTCAGACGGATAAATTATAGAGCAATGCACTGATTTGTTTTCAAGAGAACAGCACATCTCTTTTTTATTAGAATTGTGCAAAATTGTGATTTCATTCACAATGAAATCACATTGTGATTACAATGATAAAGACATTAGTCTTTATCATGTTAAAGACTTACAATAATAGCTCAAGATGTTGGTGATTCCGAGATGTTATGAAGTTTGCAAGAAATGTCAAAGCAGAGGTTACAAAGTGCAGCAGCAATATATGGGAGACAATAAAGTCAGAGATGAGCATACAAGAAATGACAAAGAGGCAGAAAAAATCAGCAGCTGAAGGTTGACATCCAGAGATGAGACTCTGATTGATAAGCTGTGTTTGTAAATGCTGCTGTGAGAAGAGCAGCTGCCTCTTCGTACAGAGCAAACTCACAGCTGCCTGCACAGATTTAATTGAGATATGAGTAACAGGAACTTTTCGTAGGCTCAGAGTCACGCTTGTTTTCTGACCGACGCCAGATTGTAATAAAGCTGAAATTAGACCAGAACTTTGAGATGTTATGGAAGTCAAACAAGAAACAAATAAAATAAAGATATATTGAAAATTTTACCACCAGCTTTTTGGGTACATGCAATCTAATCCTTTTTTACTATCTTTCTTTGTCCTGTTATGATCTTGTGCTGTCAGCTCCCATCGCTCATCGGCTTCCAAATCGATCCATTGACTGCAGCATCCATTGTTAATTCTTTAAATGTTCTTCTCCTGCGCCTGCAGGTCATAAACCATTCACAAAGAAGCCTGATCAGTCAGATTTCATTAGTAGCATGAACGATGATGCAAAGAAGAAAATTGGATTTCAGCAGCAAATTAAAATTTAGCATCAGGACCTGCTGTGTGAATGCAGCCTTAGATTCCTGGGTTGTTCCTGCTAATTTTCTGTGCAGAGCAGCTTGGGCTTGTTTGTAGAAACTCCACCCTGGAAAAAGAACAACTCAATCACTGAAAGC